TAAAACAGCGTTGCTGTTCTTGGAACTAATTTAGTTGCTAAGCTTATTATATAATCTAAAGTAACGCTGTATTTTGGACTCACAATCAGAAACAGGATCTCTTGGCTTACCGGAACGTGTAATTTCCTGGTACCAGGTTGGTCAGTTCCAGAATATCTGTATCAGCAGAGACCTTCTCTTCTCGAAGTGGCCCCTTTAGTTCTTCCCAGTGGTAGCTGACTATTTTGTCATCATCAGTACTTTCTGATCCAGTGAACACAGATAATGTGTGTCTTATTTTACAAGCCATTTTCTCAATAAACATGCAATAAAGTAGTCAAATCTACTTAAAAAATTAGTCCAAAGCTGATGCGTAGTTATAGACCAGTGGTGGCGAACCTATGGCACGCGTGCCAGAGGTGGCACTCAGAGCCCTCTCTGTTGGCACGCACGCCGTCACCCCAGCCCCGCCACCCCCCTCCTTACCAGCAGCCCCCCTGGAGGAGAGTCACCCCAGGCGCAGCCTGCGCAGAGCAGCACAGCCAAGGACATGGCAGCCGGGCACAACACTCCGCCCTTGCGCCCCATCGCGTGCAGATGATGCTGCGGGGCGCGGACAGAGGGCATGGCCATGACGCTGCTGGGCCGCGTGGGCGATCTGCTGTGGTGGGTCGCGGAAGCGGTGGGTGGCCCTGCGGGCGGGAGAGGTGGGGACAGGGCAGGGGCGAGGCTGTTTTGGGGCACTCGGTCTCTAAAAGGTTCGCCATCACTGTTATAGACCCTTTCACAAGCCACAACATTTAATTATTATTTCCCAAGAATTGATGCTATAGCAACCATTAAATTTGCAGCGGATGATCAAGAGCCCACGGACAGAAGCTGCATTATAGATATATTTGATTCCAGTTTCAATCTCCAGAATGTCACAAGCAGGGCAAGAAACAACTGAAGATGAAACCCTGGAGGGCCCAGACGTAATTCTAGCCAACCTGCCTAACAGGCTACAGGTTTGTAAAGCCGTCTTCCCCGAAACCGATGGCCTTTGGAAGTCCTTTGGAAGCGCTGAGGAAGCACTCTCCAGAATTATCTGTGGAGATTCTCAGTCATCCAAGTCATAGTTGTCTCAAAAGTGCTTTTTTTTCTTCTTTTCTTTTCCAAAGGCAACTGGACTGTTTTTTCCTTGAGGAAGAAGAAAATATTTCACTTCTCATCCAAGAAGCTTCATCAGTTCAGATGGGCAGGGGGGATGGAAGGATAGGTACTGACAGTTGAAACTGGATGGTGAGGGATGGAAGGACAGGTGCTGATAGGATGGGGGGGGGAGTATGGAAAAATTGTATTTCTTTGCAGTCACCTGATCGTTAGCACTCTCTCTGAGAGCTGTGTGAGGAGGCCACTTGGGGGTGTGTCTGTGCCCTCAGGATCACAGGGTGCAACTGGTTGTGGAATTTTCTTGGAACTGCAGCAAGGGTTGCNTTCTTCTTCTTCTTCTTCTTCTTCTTCTTCTTCTTCTTCTTCTTCTTCTTCTTCTTCTTCTTCTTCTTCTTCTTCTTCTTCTTCTTCTTCTTCTTCTTCTTCTTCTTCTTCTTCTTCTTCTTCTTCTTCTTCTTCTTCTTCTTCTTCTTCTTCTTCTTCTTCTTCTTCTTTTCTTCTTTTATTTATTTTATTTTATTTTATTTTATTACATTTATATCCCGCCCTTCTCCTTACGGACTCAGGGCGGCTAACAATCGGATAAAAATACAAGAATTACAATACAAATTTAAAATTAATTAAAAGGGAAATATTTAAATCTAATCCAATTAAAATATAATTAAAACCCCCTCTAAAATCCCCTAGGCCAGTCCCGCAAGCTGGAACAACCATGTCTTAAGGGCTCGGCGGAAGGAAGGGAGATCAGGGATCACCCTGATCTCTGGGGGCAGTTCATTATTATTATTATTATTATTATTATTATTATTATTATTATTATTATTATTATTATTATTATTATTATTATTATTATTATTATTATTATTATTATTATTATTATTCTTCCTCCTCCTCCTCCTCCTCCTCCTCCTCCTCCTCCTCCTCCTCCTCCTCTTCCTCTTCCTCAAGAAAAAAACAATCCAGTTGCCTTTTGAAGGGAAAAAAAAAGCACCTTTGATACGGTCTCCAGAATTCTTTTGGCTGAGCTGATTGAAAAGGCAAGTAGATTCGGTCCCAATATACAGGTTGTCCTTGACTTATGACCACATTCAAGACCACCCATTTCCACTGAATTTGCTTATCAGAAGCCCTCTGGGAAGGTCGCAAATGGCGATCATACGATCCTGGGATGCTGCAACCGATGTAAATATATGCCAGGGGCCGAGCGCCTGAATTTGGATCACGGGGATGCTGCAGTGAATGTAAGTGCAAGGAAAAAAGTCTAAGTCACTTTTTTCAATGCCTTTGTAACTTTGACTAATTGCTAAATGAATGGTGGCAAATTGAGAACTACCTGTACTCGGGGGAGGCAAGAGTATAGAAGGCTGGCATGAAATACTTCGAAAAATTAAAGCAATTTAGTAGGAAGAGATAACATACAAGCTGATGGTGTTTTATGTCCTCATCATTTGCAGCCTGAATGCAGTAGAGAAATCCTTTATGACGGCTTTCTTTGTTATTGAAAAGGGAAAGGGAAAGTAGAGCTGATTTTCTGAACAGGTGTCGGAATCTCTTCCTGAAAATATGGCAGCGTGATGTTTAGGACCAGAGCTGGGACATTGAAAAGCGGTGCTTAAATGTTTTTGTGCGAAAGTAGCATAAAGCCTTGAGTCTTTCAGATATTAAATCTACGCATTTGGCACTGAGGGCTTGTAGATCGGAAGTCTGAGGAAGTCAAGACGTGAGTAACACTTGAAGTGCTCCAAGGGATACACACCTCTGCCATGCCCCTTTCTTCTTAAGGAATGATCGTTGCCGTCCCCTAGCTTTTCTGATGATTTCAGGAGCAGACGGCAATGATTGCGTTCGTGTTGGGAAACTGCCAGTTAGGCTGTAAGGAGGGGTCAAGCAAGGGCCTAGCTTGGAGTCATTGCACAACCGCAAGTGGCCTAAGGTTGAGCTCCCTCAAGATCCACGAAGTCTTAACTTGTCGTTCCCGGGGAAAGGCAAGCAGTCGGGGGAAGATTCCTATAAGATACTGTAGGTGGTAGACAATAAAGTAAATACCTATCCATGAGTGTCTTTGGTTGCCAGGGCCTGACATTTGAGTACTTACGGCTGCCGTCAATGACTGTTGAGGTGGTTGGAAGAGAGATCTCCAGGAACTGGGGTGACACAATGGCCACGGGGGGCTGATTTACTCGAGGCTCTGCGGTGACAAAAGAAACATGACAGTTTCCCTAGGAACAAATGACAAGATACTCGTGGCACGTGCCAGCTCCTTTAGAAATCCACTTCATTCAATTGCAGCACAGTTAGTAGAAATAAGAACCACAAAAACCCCAATGTTGTTTCGAGATTGTGCTTGCTAGACTACCTTAAGATGAACCCCCTGGAGCTTGAAGACCCTTTCCTATCCACTGTGCCATGTGCTATTCTATCTTTAAAGGCTGTTGTAAGGATTAATCAAAGAATCTATTAAAGAGTCCGAATTATCTAGAAAGTTTTGTAAAATGTAAATTCATTTAGTGGCTATAGCAACTTTTCAGCTTCAAAATCCTCTTATTTACCACCATTGTAAGGATTAAGTTATTACTTATTAAATCCTCTTGTTTGCAAATTGGAAATCCACTTTCTATACAACTAGCTGAAATCACAGCCTTTTTTCCACTGCTCTTGCATTTTTGTGGTGAGGTGAACAGTCCCCTGGACTGCAAGGCGATCAAACTGGTCAGTCCTAGAGGAGATCAACCCCGACTGCTCTTTAGAAGGCCAGATCCTGAAGTTGAAACTCAAGTACTTTGGCCACCTAATGAGAAGGAAGGACTCACTGGAGAAGAGCCTGATGCTGGGAAAGATGGAGGGCAAGAGAAGAAGGGGACGACAGAGAAGGAGGGGGCTGGATGGAGTCACTGAAGCAGTAGGCGTGAGCTTAAGTGGACTCCAGAAGATGGTAGAGGACAGGAAGGCCTGGAGGAACATTGTCCATGGGGTCGCGATGGGTTGGACACGACTTCGCAACTAACAACAACGAACAGTCCTGCCATTAAGTTAGGACAGTATTACAACAGTAAGAATTCTCTCCAGCCTCTGGACGAAGCTTCTAACATTCTTCAAAGAGTGGACAGGGAGGCAAGAGAGTCCTCAATTTGCTGCATATATTTAATATGCCCTCATATTCATATTTGTAGTATCCAGATGTTAAATTAGTTTCTAAGTACAAAATAGGGACATGGATAATTTGAACATAGTAGTCCTAAATTCTGGATTAGCAATATCAACTGCCCGCTGCAATTCATTAGAGATATCCGCTCTGGTTGCCCACATAGAAAGAATCATCTTTTGCAAGTAGAGCCATGCAAGCATTCTGATGGATAATAGGGAGCATTTAAAATAACAAGGCAGAAGAAAAGCTCTGTAGAGCTCCTGCAGCTCATAACCAAGGCAACACCATTTAATCAATGCTGTATTACCTAACTTAAAATAATTAGTGGAAAACAGTAAACACTTCCAGAAGCAGGCAGCCTTATTAGACTGCTGGTAAAAAAAAACAAAAAACCATCCTGTGGTATCCTAGCTAGTTCATTTTCACATAAGCTTCATGCATCAAGCCCACTTCATCAGACAGATGGAACCAATCCCAGGAGAGAGATTCTCTTGAGTACATGCAAAGGAAGGGAATAAGGACCCCTAAAGGAATCAGGACACAGAATGATTAGATACTGGTCATAATAAGATCTCAGAGTTGTGTGTTTTGTCCCAAAGGGCACTAAATCCGGTATAATGTGAGTTTTGTGTTCTGAAAGTGGTGGCTGACTATAACTTGCCTCGTCAAGATTTAGCCTGTCTCTTTTCAAAGAATTACATCGCTGGATAAGCCCACGAGAGCAACTGCAGTTCAAGACAAGCTGATAGTTTTTTCAGAGAGGCAGAAAGTGGTTTGTATTTATTATTCATGCTCAAATAGGTCCCTGGGTATGATCTCACCTCACAAAGAAGCATTGCCAAAGAAATTATATAACTACCACCAACAGGAGCACTGCTGCTGTTCACACAAAGCACAGAAAGGGAAAAGAGGTGAAAGGAATGTGATAATGACACACTCCTTTTCCTCTCTCAAAACTGAGTCAAACGTTTTGCTTAGAACATATTCAGGCCAGCGATGATTTGGGCCACCTACTTGCTTTTCAAATGTTTACAAAGACAGGAAACTATAAGAATAACCCCTGGGAAGACAATGCAGGAGAGGAGGAGATTGATGCAATCCCTGAGCATACCTGGTTTAACCGTCACATTCACCATCCCTTCTCCGTGTGCATTATCACCATCTACTATCACGTTGAATTCATATAGGCCAACTGTGAGCTGCCAAACAAAATGAGCAGGGATTGTTAAGGAAAAAAGACAAGACTAACATGATTATGTTTAAAAAAAAATCCATCATAAAGGATACCCGTGTTTCCCTGAAAATAAGACCGGGTCTTATTTTATTTTATTTTTTTGCCTCCAAAAGAGGCACCAGGTCTTATTTTTGGGGGATGTCTTATTCACCTCCGGCAGCGACAACCCCGCCCAGCAGGTCCACTTCTTCTGGGGCCAAAGGAGCAGCTGCATTCTGGCCTGCATTTCACAGTCAGGCCTTTCTGAAAAAGGCCTGTAACTGAGAAATGCAGGCCTGGCTGCAGAAGATGCCAGAGAAGAAGTGGGCCAGCGAGGAGAGGCCTGGCTGCAAGGTAAGCAGGTGTGGGGCATGTGGGGCAGATCCACCTCCCCACTCCCATCCTAGCTTGATTTTTAGGTATGTGCCTCGCCCCAAAACTAGGGCTTATTTTAGGCATAGGGCTTATATTAGGCCCACCCCCAAAAATCAAGTTAGGGCTTATTTTGGGGGGTAGGCCTTACTTTCAGGGAAATACGGTATTGGCAGTGTGTTTGAGGCAGGCCTTTTTATAACACTGTTCCCCTCTCTTTCCACCAGTTTCAACAACTCCTCCACCATGATCTGTAGTCACCAAAAGATGTTGTCACGTGCTTAGGGAACTTTTAGGAGCCAAGGAAAAGTTCAGATAATACGGGATGAAAACATCAAAAAGCTTCAAACTGCTTTATATGCTGCTCCCACTGAACACGTTATTGTTTAAAAGCATTCTTCACATACATGAAACAAAAGTAATGCATGTTAAACTAGACCGCATCCTCATTCTGGAATTTTTACATTCTCATGATCCTTAAATCTGTTGCTCTTGCATTCCTGTTTCATACATTTAACGCAAGTGGGACAATAGAGGGCGAGTATGATCAGGTAAACACTTGGACAGCAATGCTTTTATTTATTGCCACATCCATCTAAACCTTGTACAATGACACTTTCAACCCATAATTCTTTCTAGGCAGACTCACCTTGGATAACTTGAGAATCTGTGAATGCTGTCCTTCCATCTCTCCACTATAATCCTTTGGGTGCGTAATCAATCTCCAATCATAGGAATAGCTACTTCCTAATGGAAGAAGAGCAGAGATTAAGACAAAGATCTTAAATTTGCATGTCAAAAATTATTCAAAATGTAATGCCAATGTGGGACTTATGCAGAACAATGGTTTTCTTTACGCTGCCATATTTATGTGAATAAGTCCTGATTGCCAAAATAGATTTGGCCAGGCTTCTTAGCTTCATCTTCCATCGTGAACTTACATGCATTTACCATACAAACTCACAAGGGCTACCAAATTCTGAATTGGACTGTTCAGCTTTTACCTTTAGGTGGTGGAGGTAGGACATATGCATTCAGTTCCACTTCATTCTTTGGCAGGGTCACCTGGACACTGTCTCCAGCAGAAACTGCCAATTTCTTCATAACTGTGGAAGAAAATTAACGTTCAGACACCGAGCAGAACTGGGGACAAATTCACATTTTATATGTTTCATTATAATATGTGCAATAGGTTGTATTCAAAGGGAAAACAGATGTTTCAGAGCGCACAGATGCTCATGTAGCACCTACCGGCAACTTTTTAAAGCAGCTGCATCTTTCCCTGAGACTAGTTATCTTCCCTTTGCAGCTGCACAAGAGAAAGGGGAAAGGATTGTTTGCTTTAAAGAGCTGCCAACAAGTGCTCTGCTTCCCCTTTGACATCTGAAATGCAACGAAGACTTCTGCAACAAATGATTAACAGACATAGTTGTACATAAGAATTATTGGGTATTTGGGCATGTATGTTCCGCTCCTCCCCGTCTTCAGGCCTAGGTTTTATGAAGGAGCCTAAAATATCTTTCTGCTTTTATACAACTAGAGCAAATAAAACCAGGGCACCGTTCATATGCCTGAATACTGAATAAATTTGTGGAGAAAGAGTTAATCTTATTTTTTTTTCATTTAGTGTTTTTTAGGAGGCTAAAATGAGGATAGTAGTTGTGCACAAGAATTTTTAAAACGTATTGGGTCAGTAGAGACTCAAACTAGAAAATAATCAAAACGGAAGCCCCCTTAATCACAGGTCTGATACAATATCTGAATAATTTGTCTTCGGATCTAGTACAACAGTATCAACAGAGCTTTGTCTGTTTATGAACTAAGATAACAAAAGTTATTGTTTTTATAAAAGTATTAGGGGAAAAAAGTTATCTTCCAAGCATTGTTGACAAAATCAGTGTTAAAGAGAGTCCAGAATTTGGAACCTGGTCAAGAACATTTAAAGGAGGATGTATGGCGTCTCCTCAGCCAAAGTTTGCTCTTACCTGGTGTTGGGGCAGGAGTACTAGGTACTATAGCAGGATTGGTCAGAACTGCAGTAACGCTGCCATTGATGGGCGTGCCAGTTGGAACAGGGAACACCTGTTGCACCTTCCCCAAATCCTTTCCCGGAAGACTATTAGAAGTTGGGATGGCTTTTTCTAAAGAGATGGTCTGGATGGAAGCATTGTTGGATGGTCTGGTTTTCTCAGAGTTCCCAACAGGGCTGGGGACGATGGTTGCTGAAGAGGGATATGGTGTAGAAACTCCTGTAGGGGCCTAGAATTTATATGAGAGAGACAGAGAGTTTGTGAGAATAAATATCAATTACGATTTGTAATAAGTAACCGTTTCAGTTCTTAGTAAGTAACTTAATTCTCAGTTGTTATTTTAGAGGACTGCCTCCATTCTGCTGCCCAGAAATTATATCCCATTCATGAATTACAGAGATAAATACTGCCATTATGAAGTAAAAGTATTCCTCAATATTCTTAGTTAATAAACTTTTTGTTTATAAATCAGATTTCTAACATTTGTATTAAATCAAATTAAATGTAGAATACAGTACAGCTGTAACAGTATATTGTAGGAGTTGTAACAGAATTTGAATTTTATTTTTTAGGACTATAGCAAGGATTATAGAAATATTTGTACTTTTGTGCTAGAAATACTTATTATTTAAGCATATGGTATACAGTGCATACAGAGTATTTTCAAGGACAGAGTTATAAAACTGAGGATCATCACTGAGAAATCCTATTTAGAAGACCTGCCAGCCAGCCTAAGAGTGAATATTCAAATTGGGTATATGTTATATTATCATAGATGCAACATATTTCAAGAAATAGAGTTGGGCCAAGTGATTGTTGATTCTTACACAACAGGTAAGGTACATAAAATTGAAGTGCTGTAGAGCACTGGTTCTCAATTGAGGCCCTAGGATTCTTAAAAGAAGCTAAGTGTATTAGATTGCAAATACTATATTGCTGATATGAGAAAATGCATCAGTTATGTTCCATATCCATATCCATATCCAGGCCCTGATGGGAGACATAGGAGAAAAAAGTTTGAGAAACATTAATTTAGAGGATGGGGATCACTAGGATGATGATAATTAATGTTGGGATAGCAGAAGTATTGAGATTATGCTAGCTATCTAAAGCATGACAAATAACATTTTATTTTCTATTCACTCAACATTTATCTTGCTTGGAAGCAGGATTTCCGTCTTCATGGTCAAGAATTTGAGTGAGGGGTTTGTTTTAGTAATATATAATATTCTTTTACTCAGAAACTGATCAGACTGGTGTAAACAAATCTAAGGAACAGATGGAAACAATTTCCTTTCTTTCATCAGGAAATTCTTTCGCAGACCTTCCCCATTCCAACGGCTTGCCTGGAGCAGCAAGAACCGGACATTTCAGTTTTAACTGGGCTTATCTGTATAATTGCATATTTTCTTGATCCTTTTTATATAGCATCAGTCAAATTCTTAAACTGAAGTATCCAGAAACATCAATGATCTGGACCATATTTATAAGGAAAAATGCAGCATATGTTATTGCGATAGAAGTAAGTTATTTTTATTATTAAATGTGTGACTTGGGAAGTTAGAAGATTAAAATTGATCACCTTTTGCGATCTTCTGACAAGCAAAGTCAATGGGGAAGCCAGATTCACTTAACAATTGTGTTACTAACTTAACAACTGTAGTGGTTCACTTAACAACTGTGAGAAGAAAGGTCACACAATGGGGCAAAATTCACTTAACAAAAGTCTCGCTTAGCAACAGAAATGTTGGGTTCAATTGTGGTCATAATATTCACCACTAGCTTTAATATAGACTTGCCTGATTACGACCTCGTTTTTATCAAAGATTGAAGAGATTCTACGATAAATAGGGAGGTTAGACAAGACGGGTAGTCAGGGAACCTCTTTAGTTCTTTAGTATCACGCGGGGAACGTAAAGTCCACAAACTGATGATAAAACAGTTAAAAGTATTCTACCAAAGTTATCTTTTGGTTAGAATTAGAAAAAAAGTCAGTTCAGATAATAAAAATTCCCAACAGGATTTTCTCTGTTTTTATAAAGAGGATGCACCTTCTCCTAGTTGGGACATCAGAAACGGTGCTGATAGTGCTTTGTCTTTGAAATATATTCCAACTGTTATTGTGTGAGAATTGCACCTGCTTCCCTCAACACAAACTATCATCAAAGCAGGGAGAGAAAATAGCACCAGGAGGACAAGTTGGATAATCTCTGGCATGTCAACACAAGAGAACAAACACCTATACCCTATGGTATAGGGTTTCCTGCCTGAGCAGGGGGTTGGACTAGATGACCTTCAAGGTCCCTTCCAACTTTACTATTATTATTATTATTATTGTTGTTGTTGTTGTTGTTTTTTATTATTATTATTATTATTATTATTATTATTATTATTATTATTATTATTATTATTATTATTATTATTATTATTATATAGATCCAGGGCTAGTGACAGAAATAGTCTATTTGGCGAATTAAATATTCAAACTGCTTTTTTGCCATTTTTCTGTAGTTCCTTATCAAGATATAAAAACCTTCTGTTGCTTCTATATGGGTTTGGGGTTGAAAACTATACCAGCATTATTCAAGAAACAGCAAATTCTGAATCAAAATAAAAGGGTGTTTTATCCAACCGTGATTTAGATATAGTCGTACCTTGGTACTCATTGTTAATTGGTTCCGGAAGGTGCGATGAGTACCAAAAATTATGAGTACCAAACAGTTTTTTCTCATAAGGAATAATGTAGAAAGTAACAAGGAAACTGACACCAAGCCTGTGTGTTGAGTACCAAACAATGAGTACCAGGACAAAATGTTTACGTCAAAATGCATTGAGTACCAAATTTGATGAGTTTCAAAGCAATTGAGTGCTTTGTCTGTACTGACAAAGTCACAGGCAGAGTTAACGTACAATAAATAGAAATATTACTTTTTATAAGAGTTTATTTTCTAGGAACTGTATTTTTCTAGCTCTCAAATTGCAGTATTTCATTAATGGCAAAACTCGATTCCCTTCCTCTTAATTTCTCAGTATATCTTTTGGATGAACAGTGTTTCCTGTCCTTTGTCATATTATCAGAGGTTCAATGCACATCCTAACGTGCCCAGAAAAAGACAAATGCAGTGTAAATATGGCTTTTAGGAAATAGAAAAGGAAAACATAGGATATAATAGACGTGTTTTTGTTGTCCCACAATATGAATGGAGTCGGAAAAAACTAGTCCATGGAGAATAGATGTGACTGCTGTAATAAATGTTAGGAATAAAGCTAAAGCTATGTTTTTCTATCTTAGCAACCATAGAATTTTAATAGGTTGTTTCTGCAGTCCTCCTGCAGTGAAACAGCAGATACTTTGATCAGCAAGCTACGCTTCACATTTCTCTTGTTGAATCGGTCTCTACTGTCAAGCTCACATACTGACATTTGGACTTATTTTATTAATCCTATTAGGTACTTAATTTTTTTGTTAATTAAACCGATGCAAGAACAATATTTTTAAAAATAGTAGTGTGAAACAGGAAGCTGATACCTACAGAATCTCCTGCACTCTAAATTTATCTTTTGTAATACAGTGAGGTTGCTTTCTCAAATGTTTCTGTTGCAAGGATTTTTCACATCTCTCGAAATGTGACCCCTTCTGCCTCCCACCTCAAACTAATGTGTTTATTACACCACTTTGGACATTAGTTGTATTAAGGCCAGGCAGAAGCTTTAACATCAGCATACCTAGCTGCACATATTAAAGGTCTCCCTCTTTTCTTAGGCTCAGTATGTGAAGATTAGTATCTGTGGGAGTCCTTGGGATCTCTCCACCGATAAGAGAATAATAATTCTTAAATTTTCTTCATTTCTTTCAATTCACTATTTGCCCTTACTTAAATTACTATAATCATTTATCAATCAATGCTGGTAGCTAAAAATGACAAACCCTTGGAGTTTTATTGGCAAAATTTCAGAAGTGGTTTGCCACTGCTTTTTTCCTAGGGCTGAGAGACAAAGACTGGCCCAGGTTTACCCAGTTGACTTTGTGCCTAGAGCAATATCAGAACTCACCAAAACTCTTCAGGTTTCTAGCCTGATTCCACTATACCAAATTCGCTCTCCAGAAAACATTACTATTATATGTATAGCGTTGGTTTTTTAAAAATATACGTATTATTTTCTTCTCCCCCATTCTTCAGAATTACATTTCTTTTTCTACCACCCCTACAGTGGTATGATGCTCAGTTTCAGGCCAGCAGCTTCTACAGCAGCAGTGTAAAGTACAATGAGGAAAAGCAGGAACAGAAAGGTTTTAATAATCCTTCAATCACTTCTGAAAATGCTCCCTCCTGGCAACAGATCTAATTAACGGCACAAGACACTTTTTTTCCAGGCTTATTGGAGCAATGAATTTGAGAATTTTCCCTAGAACATAAAAATGGCAGAACATTGTGCTGTAAAGCCTCACTTTTAAGTTACCCTGAGAAACAAAACAACAAACTTGCAACACACTTGAAAAGTCAGGATCACAATTGAATCTTACATAAGAATAAGAAAGGCTGATTTCCACATTTTCACATTATAAAGGCTTTTGCTTCTGAAAACCTTGCATTCCTTGAAAAGTGATAGAAATTTGCTATTAAAAAGGCATTAATGAATCTTTGCCAGAGTATCTTATGAACATGGGCTGGAATAGCAGCAAAATGTCATTATCAGAATATCGAGAGAAAAGTGATAATTCGGGATGTGGTTTAAAAAAAAGGGATGCAGTATGCTTAAGTTGAAATCAGCTGAAATGTGTATTTAATGCTCAGGTCAGGAAGGATTCAGCACAGGGAACATAGTGTTATCTTTCTGTCATCCCAGAGTAACAAACTCTTGTGAGAGGCCAGATGTTTATAATTTAAGGGACAGGAGTTAGGGCATTGTTAAGACAAGAAAGCTGAACAATTCCTAGGTGACTAAAAAGTCAAGGGACAGCAGAGGGATAGCAAGGACAGCTAAGACAAAGCAATGCCATGTAGCTGTTTCCCATATGAAATGGGCCATTTCCAAATTTCCTGAAATGTCCTCTGGCTCCGGTCTATATCCTGTTCTCTTGTCACAGCTGCAATGTGACCAAAGACTGTCAATACTGCACCCAGCTATATGGGAATATCAGATTTCATGAATTACATTCTTTTTGCGATAGGTGAGGTTAAGCAGGATATGACTCTGATCCTATTGGACTTCTCCATAGTTGCAAAAACCTGGCTTTTTTGTCATGCCCTGGAGTTGGAAGGAGAAGTCTGCTCCTCAAAGGGAGTTTTTGGTAAGGAATATCTTTGAATAGTCTCCCAGTGTGCTGTGGACTGTTTTGATTTTGTCTGTTGTTGGCTGTTACTGATCTGATATTTTCATGCTACGATATAATGCCTTGGTAAGGCCACACTTGGAATACTGCATCCAGTTTTGGTCACCACGATGTAAAAAAGATGTTGAGACTCTAGAAAGAGTACAGAGGAGAGCAACAAAGATGATTAGGGGACTGGAGGCTAAAGCATATAAGGAACGGTTGCTGGAATTGGGTATGTCTAGTTTAAGGAAGAGAAGGACGAGGGGGGACATGATAGCAGTGTTCCAATATCTCAGGGGCTGCCCCAAAGAAGAGGGAGTCAAGCTCTTCTTCAGAGCGCCCGAAGGCAGGACAAGAAGCAACGGATGGAAACTAACCAAGGAGAGAAGCAACCTAGAACTAAGGAGAAACTTCCTGACAGTGAGAACAATAAACCAGTGGAACAACCTGCCTCCAGAAGCGGTGAATGCTCCAACACTGGAAGTTTTTAAGAAGAAACTGGACAGCCATTTGTCCGAAATGGTATAGGGTTTTCTGCCTGAACAGGGGGTTGGACTAGATGACCTCCAAGGTCCCTTCCAACTTTATCATCATCATCATCATCATCATCATCATCATCATCATCATCATCATCATCATCATCATCATTATTATTATTATTATTATTATTATTATTATTATTATAAGCCATCTAGAGTCATCCTCCGATTGAGGCCACACAAGTTGACAAAAAGTAAATTTCTTTCCCAATTCAGGAAACTTTTAGTGAAAGCTTTACTATAGAATGGTTAATACCGATACAATGGAAGAGTATTGCACACGTAATTTACAATAAAAAGCTATATTTTGACACAATCTGTTTCAGTAACAACTATCTGCAACATATGAAGCAATATGCCAAACAAATGGAAACATATTTATAGCTTTTAATAGTTCTGTTTGCTATTTTTGCTGTGTGAAGAGACCTGTTGATAAGCAACAAGCTTTATTCTCAACCTTGCAGCTGCAGAGGAGAATGGAGAGCATTCCGATGGCTGCAAATTGATCCGTACTTTATCTTTACCCTAGAGTTGAAACTAAACCTGGCAAATGTGTAGCCAAGGGTCTGGGTTAGGGTCAGCCTTAATTTTAGAGAGACGATTGGGTCAAACCAGCCCAGCCTTCCCTACTTCAGGATTTGCTTAGATAGAAGTATGTATGATTTACCCAGGTTTGATGGGTTAAAAGAATACAGATGCTACTCTAATATAAAAGTCTACTATTAGAAGCAAACAATCCCTATACATAGATAGATCAACAGAATATGGATTAATTTTTAAAGTCAAATGAGCTAGTTGGGTAACAGTCAAGGCAGAGAGACAAGAGAACAAGGTCATAGAAATTCTGCACTGCTATTGGATTGAGCAGCATTATTGCTTTTCCAGGGATTCACTTACCTCCAAGGAGTCACTCCCATCAAGGTCATGCTGTCTGTTGTTAATGTTATCACTGTTGGAAGAAGATGGGCTTTGGGGTTTCAGTTCTTTCGAATCCTTATTATTTGGCAGGAGGGTTTTCTCTACTTTGCTATGGTTTCCTGAAAGGTCCGCTTCCGATCTTGAAGACTGTGGTTCTTTAAGATCCTCGTGAGTTGGTATTCTATCCAAGTCTTCTGATGGAACTGGATGGTTTATAGAACTTCCAACGGAGGAGTCCACGTCTCGCTTTAGAGAATTTCCCCTGACTTTTCCTAAATGCAATGCATGAGCAGGCAGCTCTTTGAAGGACCTCTGTATCCTTGACTTACTCTGATGTCTCTCCCTCCAGTTCAACCATTTGGGAAGATGGGCTTGCCTCTCTTTGGCAGATTGGGAATCTACATCAAGATCAGATTTCGTTACAAAGACCATGATGGGCTCCGCCGTGTCAGTTCTGATCTCCTGACACTTGTGAGACTTGGTACAGTTCACCTGAATGCAGATAGTCCCCATGAGCCAAAATGCATCGCAGGCTGGGGTTTGACAACAAGCAGCTTGACAAGAGTGGATAGAATGCAATCCTTCTAGCAGCTGAAGTTGGACACCATCTGATGACCTCAAACTGCCCTGTTCCAAAGGCTTTCCAGACTGGCAAGCACTTCTGCTCCAGCTTCCATCTGTGCAAAGAGAAGAAAAGTTACAATCATTTTAAAGAAGCAGTAAAAACAAAGGCAAAATGATCACCAGTGGTTGGTTTTCTCACCCGTACAGCAACAACAAAAATCAATCAGTTCCCTTTTTCTTATCCAGAAACATGGTTGTTGTTGCCATCATTATATCAATGGTGCCATCAATGCCATCAATGGTGAAAAAAGTAAGGTTCTACATTTAGGCAAGAAAAACCAAATGTACAGGTATAGTATAGGGGATACCTTGCTCAATAGTAGTAACTGCGAGAGGGATCTCGGAGTCCTAGTGGACAATCCCTTAAATAGGAGCCAGCAGTGTGCTGCAGCTGCCAAAAAAGCCAACACAGTGCTGGGCTGCATTAACAGAGGGATAGAATCAAGATCACACGAAGTATTAATATCACTTTACAATGCCTTGGTAAGGCCACACTTGGAATACTGCATCCAGTTTTGGTCACCACGATGTAAAAAAGATGTTGAGACTCTAGAAAGAGAAGAGCAACAAAGATGATTAGGGGACTGGAGGCTAAAGCATATAAGGAACGGCTGCTGGAATTGGGTATGTCTAGTTTAATGAAGAGAAAGACGAGGGGGAACATGATAGAAGCCTTCAAGTATCTCAGGGGCTGCCCCCAAAAAGAGGGAGTCAAGCTATTTTCCAAAGCGCATGAAGGCAGGACAAGAAGCAATGGGTGAAAATTAATCAAGGAGAGAAGCAACCTAGAACTAAGGAGAAACTTCCTGACAGTGAGAACAATTAACCAGTGGAACAACCTGCCTCCAGAAGTGGTGAATGCTCCAACACTGGAAGTTTTTAAGAGACTGGATAGCCATTTGTCCGAAATGGTATAGGGTTTCCTGCCAGAGCAGGGGGTTGGACTAGATGACCTCCGAGGTCCCTTCCAACTTTATTATTATTATTATTATTATTATTATTATTATTATTATTATTATTATTATTATTATTATTATTATTATTATTATTATTATTATATTTTTATCCCACCTTTTAATATATATTTTGGTCAACTCAAGGTGGAGAACATACCTGGTACACCTGCCTCCTACTTTTCCCACAACAGCAACCCTGTGAGTTGGGTTGGGCCGAGAGGTGACTGGCCCAGTCGCCCAATTGGTTTCATGCCTAAGGGAGACCTAAAACTCACAGCCTTCTCATTTTGAGGCCAGCAATTTAACACTATACCAAATATACTCTCTTATATTGAAATGTTTATGTTTAAAACAAGAGGGAGAGAAAGGAAGCAGAATACCAGCTGCTCAATGAAAAATGGCAAAATGCTAAAAGATAACAAAGAAAAGGCAGAACTATTCTTGAACATGCTATTATGGAGTCAAGAACACCAACACCCACTAACAAGTCTGCTGCCCCAAATCTAATACTTTGTTATGAAGTCTGGGCTACCTTATCTGTCAAATAAATAAATAATCAATAAATCAATCTTGCCTAATTGAACTTTTCCAATAGAAAAAAAATGTTCCAGAAAGTTTATTCGCTAGCTATATTCCTGAAGCTGCAACAAACTGTCTCTCAACGTACCTCGTGCTTGCTGTAAGACACGAAAATGTTGTCAAATGTATTACACTAATTACTGCAAATCTACTGAGGTGTATAAGCTTATTTAGTTCCAAAATAAAACTTTCAATAACAGCAATATATCACTAGAATTATAATTAGTTCCTTTCTGAACCAAAAAATGTTGCCGCTGCCATTTTTCTGTGAGGTGATAAATTCCGTCTATTTAGTGACAAATAAAACATCTCTTCATTGATTAGGATTTTGTATCAGTGACAAAAATATGGTTCTTTTTCCTCGTCACATTAAAAAATGATGAGCTCACACATGCATATTTTAGATTCAGTAACTACAGCATATTTATTTGACAGAATATTGCTTTTTCTCACTGCGCCAGGATATTAAGAGGACTAGAATCCAAGGATAAAAACTAAACATAATCCTCCTACTCTTCAATATGAATCAATGGTGGCATTTCATTGTGCTTCATGATGTTCAATGATAAGTAGAAAGAAAGGCAAGTTATCTAGGGAACTCTGACTAAACAGGGCTGTTTTGAAATTCTAATCCAGGCTCGATCAGAAGGCTCCTCATCTTCATGCTACAGCAGGTGTTTTTCGCAAGACCTCTAGAGTCTAGACCAGGGCTTTTCAGGCTTTTCACCCATTCTACCACTTTTAGGATATGGCAACATCCGAGTACCACCAGTCGTCTCACAAGGTGTCAAAAACTTGATGACCCAAAAAAAAAGGAAACAAGTGATGAAGTACAGGTAGTCCTCGACTTACAACAGTTCGCTTAGTGACTGTTCGAAGTTACAATGGCACTGAAAAAAGTGCCCCCCAAGCCACAGCCGAGCAAGACACCTGCCTGCCTGCTGGGCCGCGCTCTTCCTCCTGTCCAAGGTTTTCATTGTTGTGAGCATTTCTGTTGAGGATTGGCAGTGGGGGTGGGGTGGGGTGGTATTTGGTTTTTATTCCCCCCATCTGTTGGGTGGTTGCAGCAGGTTTTGGTCACTTCACATGACCCTGGGACACTGTGACCGTCATAAATATGAATCAGTTGCCAAGCATCTGAATGTAAATCACAAGGCCCTGGAGATGCTGCAACATTCCAGCTGATCGGCGCTTCTTCTGGGCTCAGCAGAAGCACCAGGATCAGCACTGAGCTCCAGCTGGAGCCTGGCGCTGATCCTGGTGCTTCCACTGAGCCCCGACAGCCCCGAAGAAGCACCGATCAGCTGAAAAGCGGCACTGATCCTAGTGCTTCCACTGAGCCCTGACAGCCCTGCAACTCCAGCCATCTCTCGCTCAGGCTTGTGCGGTGCTGCCACTGGTTCAGCTCATTCCCCTCCCCTGCTACCACTTTTCTAGGATGGTCGTGTACCACCTGCCCGGTACCAATGTACCACAGGTGGTACCCGTACCACTGGTTGAAAAGCCCTGGTATAGACAATGATTAAAAGGTCATTTTGTCCCAGGTCAGAAATACTAACAACTAATTCACCTATATTCAACTGCTTTTAGGATTCTGACTGCACTACCACAATCTGGTAATCAGATAATGATTCAGCATCATAATAATACAACAACACGTGCAATATGTAATTAACAGGGCCCATATTTCTGAACTCTAGAAGAATGAGGAATTAGATGGACATTAATAAACAAATGTAGGTCTGTTTCCCTGTTTCCGTAAGTGCACAGTCAAATAATTTGATGGAAAGGAATATCTGATTTCTCAAGAGAACTGATCTGTTGTTCCCAACCCTGTGGAGTGACAGTGCTGTAACGTTTTCTACCTCACCAACTTAATCTATTGGCAAGAGTCCTTTTCTACTGTGCTTCCATTTTATCACAAATAACACCAAGAGTTTTTGCAACACTATCCTCAAGAGACAATATTGGATGTATCTCCTTTGAGCTGAAAAGATGGGAGAAAAGCTCCTCTCTGTGCATATTTGAATATAAACTGATGAAAAAGTAAAACAGCAAAAGTGCTTCACATCTTCATCCACAAATACTTGACTTAAAGTGACCTCACTGTTTCCCAGCATCATGTGGCATTTGTATAATCAACCAGAGCCACTTATTTTCCTGACAAACATCCATGCTCTTGCATGCTGGACCGTGAAACTTGGTATTACATTTTAGTACTTAATATTCTATGCAGAATATATAACTATGCTATTACAATATATAAGACTATTGAAGAAAAAAACAAGCAATATGAATTTTGAGCTGGCATGTATCCAAATGTCATGACACATCGTGCCGAATTAATTAGCTTACTAATCAGAAAGTCATAAGATACTTTGTCAAACTGAAATCTAAATTGTATTACATCTATGGCATTACAATAACTAACCCCCCAAAAGGTGTTAGCCTTATAAGATTTTGTCTTGACAAATGCAAGCTGATTTCTGGTAATTAATGCATTGTTTCTAGTGCCTGGTATATAGTTCTTGGGATTTTCCTTCCAAGATACAGATAATATTTGTCTTTTCGTAGTCCCCTGATACTGTTTTCCAGAATTACTCAAAGGATAACATATATAAAAGTTTGGCAAGTTTTTTACTCCCTCTCGATTATTAAATTAGTTAATTAGGCCCTGGAGATTTGAACCCAAAGGAAATAGATATACTCTAACAAGGATTCTGTTAGTCTCAACTAAGGATCTGGCCCTTAATCCTGTTTTTTACAATTACATAACCTCTTCTAGAAAAACAAGCAAGAAGAGGAGTTGAGCAGTTCCACTTTTTCTTTCTTATCTTTTAGCATTTTTCCACTTTCACTAAGCAGCTGGTATATGCTCCTTTCTCTTCCACTTCCATAAAATTTTGAACACAAAGGTATTTTGGTTGTTTTTCCCCTCCTTTGTTAAACTCAGCTGATTCTGCATTCTGGCTTTTGTAGCACCTTCTCTACAATTCAGGATATCTTCATCTGTCATGCTTCTACTTCCTGCATGTAACTAACTCTTTTATCTGCAGATCAGTGCTAAATTTTTCATTGATCTATATTTCCTCCACCCACTCGCCACCCACCCACCCCATCCCTGTTTTTGCCACAGTGGAATTGGGCTTAAGGATTTCCTGTTCAAATGATATACTAAATTATATTTGGCTTTATTTGAAATTCGAACATTCCAGTGCTACATAAACAATATTCTCTAATGTTCATGCAACTTTTCCTCAGTTAAATCTTCCCTAATGAATAAAATGCATAGAAGGAAGTTACAAGTCAGGAACTGGATCAGTGGGCAGCCTATAAATGTTGGCAGTATATAATGAATTTTCTAGAAGGTCTGTCTGCGGCAGGTCTGTATAGTTTTCTCTAATGCTACCAGGGTAATAAAAATTCCCCATCAGCACTGCTTCATGTCTCCTTGAAAGATTTAGTTTGGAAAGCATCCTTCATCCCGGTTGTGCAAGCAATAGTCGATAACAACAGCC